TCATCCTTTGACCTCAGAAAATGAACCCAGGTATATCTCGAGTAATCGTCAACTATGACCAACACATACTTCTTTCCGTTAATGCTTTGGACTCGCATAGGACCACAGAGATCCATATGGAGTAGATGCAGAGGACGTTCGATATTGAACTCTGTCTTCAGCTTATGTGAAGCTTTCTTCAGCTTACTCATCTCAGATATTTGAAATTAAGGTGAGAAAGTCGCCAATGCCATAGCAGATTCTGCTTCAAGGATGCCTTGGATATCAAGAAGACATCAGTATCTACTTGTGTGTTAGATAGGTCAATTGTGTAGAGGTTTGATCTTCTGATTACAGCTAGAAGCTCCTTACCATCAGTAGTATGAATGCTGCACTAGTTAGCTTTAAAACAAACTTCTAAATTTTTATCACAAAACTGACCTATACTGAAAAGATTATGTCCAAGTCCTTCGACATACGACACTTTCTTTATCACTAAATTCCCAGAAATTACGTCACCATATCCAAGGATAGGCGTGTATTGATCGTTTCCAAATCTTACCGTACCTCCAAATGATTCAACATAGTTAGAAAATAATTTTTTTCTACCAGTCATGTGCTTATAACGTCCTGAACCTAAGAACCACACATGTCGGTTAACCTGCAAAAGTGAATCAATTGGGTTTTGGTACCCATTTTAGATTGGGTCCTTTGAGATCAGATCTTGTTGGTGGTATACTATATGTACCAAACCAACGTTCTTTAAAATGAATTTTCTTAGATAAAGCAGATAAATGTGACATCCGACAATTTAAATATCAGGTTAGTAGCTAAATAGCACTTTAGAAATATTATTAACACTCAAGTAGAGCGATTAGAGCTTAAGTASTTAGAAATCCCGGTAGGTTGCGTAGAAAACACTGTTACGACCCGTAACGAACCAGATCGCCTTATAAAATGCCAAATACTCCAAATAATTTTTAAAAGTTGCATAAAATATAGAGTCTATATATTTTAAATATTTTTACTTAAATTATATTTTATAAATTTATTTATCACATAAAATAGGAATTTTTTCTCAATTTCTCACAAAAACACCCAACACATTAAATTATGGGCTAATTTTATTACAAATTATTTTTAGAGCAAAGGCCTAGAGGCCCATCTTGTGGCCGGCCCCCTCCCTTATCCATTTAAATACATTTTGAATTTTGAAAATATTCATTTCTCATTCATTTGGCAACCTTTCATCTCCTTATTCTCTCTCAATTTTCACCTACAATTCTCTCCTTCCATCTTCTTCCCCAAGAAAGAAAAACTCAGCCATTTCAATCATAGAAAAAAAAATTCAAGAAACAAAATTTGAAGAAATTTAAGTTCATCTTCCTTTAATCAAAGGTAAGAACACTTGTTAGTGTTTTGGCTTCATTTTATGCACTTTTAGTGCCATTTTCTTGTCATTTTCATACTTTTAAGTTTAGAAAGGAGAGATGTTCTTCATTCTAAGTTCTAAGGATAGATTTTACACCAAAGACATGAAAAATGTTCTTAATATGGTGAAAATCCGTGACCTAACCATCTAGAACTTTTGAAAAGCAAGAAAAACCTTCATTTCATGCATTTTGTGTTTCTTATGGAATTTGAGTTCTCTTTCATTTTTGTTAACAATAATATTGTATTTTATATATTCTTACTTTAATATTGAATAGTAGAGTGGTTTCCTTTCATAAAATCATCATTTTTGGAAATTTTGATGCATAAAAGTCCATTTTTGCATAAAAGAATGACTTTTTCTCTTCGACAGATTCATTGCATGAGTTTGGAACGACCATATCTAGTTGTGTATGGACCCAATAAGCATGAATCTTTTTCCCAAATAATATTTAGTGTATTAGCTTTCAAACCCAAGTGGAATCATGAAAAAAATATGACTTTATGATCTCACAACACCCAAAACAAATTTGGTGTGCAAAAATGGTTGGTCAGAAATTTTGTGTCTCATTGTTCATCTATAACTCTTAGAAGACAGATCAAAACTCATGAAATTTTACCTCTGGAGTGTAACTTAAGGTGTTAGCTTTCAAAAGAGTCTAACCCCACCAAAAAAACATGGTGATTTAGGGGTTCAACCAATTTTTACAAAATAAGTGTGCAATCTGTCCAAACTTGACAGATTTCCACATGCATGTTTAAGCAACCATAAACCCTATAATAAGCATATAAAGTGCTTAAAACTTGATTTTTATCTTAAGAACATAAAGAGGCATTTTATAAGACGTAAAGGTAGAATAGTAACCTTAACCTTTAAGAGTTAAAACCAAACACTTTGACAACCGTTCGTCTTTATAGGGATTCACTAAAAGGACTATACCAAGGCGCACCCATTCGATCACTCAACCATGTACACCGTGAAAGAAAAGGTGAGTATTCACGGCCCCTTTTTAAATCCATCGTTATTTGGGGGAAAAAACATGTATAAAAGTAGTTGATGATTGTATGAAATATACAATGTGATTAAATCGTGAATACAAATTGATTATATGAAATATGCAATAAAATGAAATTGTGAATACGAGCACTAACACCATGTACACTAGTAAAAATTGTGTTTAGGTTAATTAAAAGTCCCACTTGGTTACACTACTTATTAACTCGTATGAGCCGATAGTTTAAGTGGATAGTGCTATTTGGATTGACAATCCCACATTTTACTAACGAGTAGGGGTGCATTTAACTAAAACACGGGTTTTATCCATGTGGTTTAAACACCACCGCTGAGGTAGTTCGGTATAAAGGGTGTAGTTGTTGCAGGTTTAGTAGTGGCCCAACACTTAAAATTACTTGGAGTACATTGTGCCTCGTTAAAAGTGCTAAACGTATGAAAGTTGTTCGTGAGTAAGTAAAAGACTTACTCGAACTAAAAATTGCATAAAGAATTGTTGTACATTGAAAACTTATGAACTCACCAACTATTTGTAGTTGACACTTGTTTTAACATGCTTTTCAGGGGTAAAGAAGGCAAATGGTGGCATATAAAAGTAATCGCGTTTCAAACATCACCTTCGAGTTTTTTTGTTTTATATCATCATTATAATTTACAAACTTGTCGTTTTGGGGATGTAATTTTGGAAATGTAAACTTTGACTAGTGATGTAATGTAATTATAATGTATGGTGGTGTTATTTATACTCTATCGCTATGAGACTCTATCTGCCGTACCTCGTGTTTCTGCTTTAGCGGGGTGTGACAGATTTGGTATCAGAGCAGTAGGTTATAGAGAATACCGGTTTTCTAAGAAAACCATACACTATAACCCAAAACTTTACAAAATAATGTTCTTAAAAGAGTCTCAAAAATTCAAAACGAACATACTACTAATATAACTAGAATGAGTGCCTTCTTAGCATACTCTAATTAGACAGAGCTTGATCACCTATGTCTAATTAAGCATGTATAAGGAGGGACGCAGACCGGTTATGTTAGGTGTTCGTCTAAAGTTCAGAACTTCTTACTCAAATAAGAAAAGCACGACTTGCATGTCTGGGTTTGCATAAACATTGCATCTTTTTGACATTTATTATGATTCGTTCAATAATTTAAATTTGGTTAATATCGCAACACTATGCGTCAACTAATGAATACTTGAACTCCGACGAGTACGACCCCTCCGAGCATAGTTACGATAGTGATGACGAGTGCTCGTCGGAGCGCTCTCCGGGTATGACCACCTTAGAGAGCCAATGGGTTTTGGGCATCGCCCAAGACCTAAAGATGTGTGAGCTTAGGTTGGATCATCATCAACACTTCGCCGACGGGGTGATTATGACCCTAGGCACACAAGGCGATGTGATGGATCACTCGTTGGAGATGATTAACATCGCTAGGGGAGCGATTAGGATGTTATATACCTACTTGGCGGTGTTAGCGGAAGTTTTGGCGGTAGTGATGGGACTACTTGTTTGGAGTCTAATGCGCTAGAAGACTCTATTTTACTAAGCTTTTGATAGATCAAATTTAGAATCTTCTTTTGAGGCATGTAGCCGTGACTTATGAACAATTTATTTCTTTTGTTGCACATCTTTATTTTCTTTACGGATGATATGGGTTTTTATTTTAGAATGATTAAAAATCAATGTTGATTAATGATTGAATGCCTTTATTATTACAAGTTATTATATATTGTCATGGATGCATGTTTAGATGATTAGCAATAAAACACTTGTATTATGCCGTGCATAATTCAATAAAGTAGATACAGTGATAAACAGTAAAAATAACCAAACTTCGATTTAAAATTTGTGCTTTAGAAATATGCCTCCAAGAAGAGAAGATCCCGAAATTGCGAGACTTGTGTCCGAGCAAGTTCTTACGGCCCTTCCTAATATAGTTAGCCAAGTAGCAGCAGGCTTGAACGCTAACCAATCAAACAACCAAGATACAACAGCAAATAAAGATTGCACATACAAAGGCTTTAGAGCTTGCAACCCAAAAGAATTCCATGGGATAGAAGGAGATGTGGGATTACTTACTTGGATTGAAGGTATGGAGTTCGTCCTTCATATCAGCAAATGTGCTGAAGGGAGCAAAGTGGAGTTTGCAGCTTGTTTGCTGCAAGGACGGGCATTGACGTGGTGGAATACCCAGATATAAACCCGAGGCCGGGAAGTAACCAACAAACTTACGTGGGAGGAATTCAAGAATTTACTCAAGGAAGAGTACTGTCCGAGGAGCGAGATCCAGAAGTTAGAAGCAGAATTGTGGAATCACGAAATGAAGGGAAGTGATGTAGACTCATACACTGCTCGTTTTCATGAGCTGGCAAAACTGGTGCCACACTTAGTATCACCCGAAGAGAACAGAATTGACCATTATGTCTGGGGTTTAGCTCCAGAAATCCGAGGGAATGTGACTTCGTCCAATCCATAAACACTTCAGTGATGCTGAACTTAGCAACAAAACTCACCATCAATGCTAATCGGTCAGGATCATTTGCAAATGATAAAGTCAAGGGTAAGAGAAGAATGGAGGAGCCCGTGAGAAAGAACTACAGCGAGAGGGGCGGTAAGGCCCAAAAAGTGATAAGAAACTTTGGGGCTCAGACACAGACAGGAGAAAAGGGCAAGGGAACTTACCCTAAGTGTGATAAGTACAATAATCACCATGGCGGGAGATGCATCATCTGTCTCAGATGCAACAAAGGATGTCATTTCGCTAAAGATTGCAGGAGCGGAGGGAGACGAACATGCCACGAGTGCGGAAGTCTGGATCACTTCAGGAATGCATGCCCGATACTGAACCGAGGGCCAGTTACTAACCCAGCACGACCAGTCAACCACGGAAATCAAGGAGGCCAAGCACGAGGTCGAGCGTTTGAGATTGGGGTAGAAGAATCCAGGCAAGACCCGAACGTGGTCACAGGTACATTCCTCCTGAACAATCATTACGTATCTATATTATTTGATTCTGGAGCAGATTGGAGCTTCGTGTCACTAGAATTTAGACCAAAGATTAGTTTAAAGTCACAAAAGCTGAAAGAAGATTTTGTTATCGAGTTTGCTAATGGGCAGGAAGTTAGGACTAAAGACGTAATCATGAATTATACCTTACGTTTAGCCGAACAAAACTTTAGCATAGACCTTACTCCAATCAGATTAGGAAGCTTTGATGTAGTTATGGGTATGGATTGGCTATCCAAAAATCGATCTGAGATATGTTGTTCCAAGAAGACCATTCGAATTCTAAAAGGAAGTGAAACGCTCGTGGTGCACGGAGAGAAGTCCCTGAGAAATTTCAAGTTAGTGACATGTATGAAGATGCGGAAATACTTGAAAAAGGAATATGTTACGTTTATGGCCCACATTGTGGATAAGGGAATCAAAGAGAAACGCATCCAGGATTTTCCCATAGTTCAGGATTTTCCCAAGGTATTTCCTGATGAGCTGCCAGGATTACCCCCGTTACGGCAAGTCGAATTCCACATTGACTTAATTCCTGGAGCAGCGCCCGTGGCCAAATCACCTTATCATTTGGCACCATCGGAAATGAAAGAATTGTCAGAACAACTTAAGGAGCTACTCGACAAAGGATTCATCACACCCAACTCTTCACCCTGGGGAGCTCCAGTACTATTTGTTAAAAGGAAAGATGGATCCTTTCGGATGTGCATCGATTATAGGGAACTCAATAAGCTGACCATCAAGAACCGATATCCGCTTCCCCGAATTGATGACTTGTTCGACCAACTTCAAGGTGCCACTTACTTCTCAAAGATCGATCTTCGATCCGGATACCATCCAATGAGGGTTCGTGAGGTAGATATTCCTAAGACGGCGTTCAAGACTCGTTATGGTCATTATGAGTTCTTAGTTATGCCCTTTGGGTTAATTAACGCACCGGCAGTCTTCATGGATTTAATGAATAGAGTATGTAGGACATATTTGGATAACTTCGTGATTGTATTCATAGATGACATACTAATCTATTCGCAAAACAAGGAGGAGCATGAGCAGCTCTTAAAGTTGATACTTGAGCTGTTAAGGGATCAGAAATTGTATGCCAAGTTCTCCAAATGCGAATTTTGGATTCGTGAGGTGCACTTCCTTGGTCATATGGTAAATGAGAATGGAATTCATGTTGATCCAGCCAAAGTTGAGGCTATAAAAAGCCCCAAGGACCCCGACAGAAATTCGCCAATTTCTCGGCTTAGCAGGTTACTATCGCCGTTTTATTTCAAATTTCTCCAAGATCGCACAACCACTGACGACATTAACCCACATGGATAAGGAGTTTATGTGGGGAGAAAAGCAAGAAGAAGCGTTCCAATTGCTCAAGCATAAGCTAAGTCACGCACCGATCTTAGCGCTACCATAAGGTACGGAGAATTTTGTGGTATACTGCGATGCGTCACACCAAGGCTTGGGATGTGTGCTGATGCAAAATGACAAGGTCATTGCTTATGCATCAAGGCAACTCAAGGTTCATGAAAATAACTACACCACTCACGACTTGGAGCTAGGAGCAGTGGTGTTTGCACTCAAGATTTGGAGACATTATCCCTACGGCACCAAATGCACCATCTTCACTTATCACAAAAGCCTTCAACATATCCTAGACCAAAAGATGCTGAACATGAGGCAACGGAGATGGGTCGAACTTTTCAACGATTATGATTGTGAAATAAAGTACCACCCAGGGAACGCTAACGTGGTAGCAGACGCATTAAACCGGAAAGAAAGGGTAAAACCGTCAAGGGTACGAGCCACGGGGATGCTGATTCAAACGAACCTAAAAATGCAAATTCTTGAAGCTCAAGAAGAGGCGTTGAAAACAGAGAATCTGAAAAACGAGACCCTGTACCACTTAGAGAAGGAATTCGAAACTCGAGCAGATGGGGTGCATTACTTCAGAGATAGAATTTGGATACCAAAGGACGACAGCTTTCAGTCAACAATTTTGGAGGAAGCACATCGCTCAAGATACTCAATTCACCCAGAAACTGATAAGATTTACAAAGAGCTAAGAAAGTATTACTGGTGGCCAGGAATGAAGAAGGACGTTGCTTTGTACGTAAGCCTGTGGTTAACATGCGCAAGGGTAAAAGCTGAGCATCAGAAACCGTATGGTCTCCTTCAGCAACCAAAGATTCCTCAATGGAAGTGGGATCAAATATCAATGGACTTCGTTACTAAGTTACCTAGGATTAGGAAAGGACATGACTCGGTTTGGGTCATAGTGGATCGGCTTACGAAATTCGCGCACTTTTTACCTATTCGAGAAGACTTCAGTACGGAAAGGCTTGCATAATTATATATCAATGAGATCGTATCGCGTCATGAAGTACCAATTTCTATCATCTTGGAAAGAGATAGCCGTTTTACTTCACGATTATGGCGATCAGTCCAAAAGGCACTAGGCACGAGGCTGGACTTAAGCACTTCCTATCATCCTCAAACAGATGGGCAAACGGAAAGGACTATCCAAACGCTTGAGGATATGTTACGAGCCTGTGTGATAGACTTTGGAGGTAGTTGGGATACTCATCTACCATTGGTTGAATTTTACTACAACAATGGCTATCACACCAGTATCCAGTGCGGCACCGTACGAAGCCTTGTATGGGCGTAAATGTAGATCCCCACTCAGCTGATTGGAAATTGGTGACACACAGTTGACTAGACCCGACATCATCTAGGAGACAACCGACAAAATCTCGAGCATCCAAGAAAGACTTAAAGCTGCAAGAGATCGTCAGAAGAGCTACGCTGGTAACCGCAGGAAACCGTTGGAATTTCAAGTGGGTGATAAAGTCCTTTTAAAGGTATCTCCACGGAAAGTAGTTGTTCGCTTCGGAAAGAAAGGAAAAGTTAGCCCAAGGTACATTGGTCCATTTGAAATACTCGAAAGAGTAGGACCGGTTGCATACAAACTAAACTTGCCTCAAGAGCTTAGTGCCATCCATGATACATTTCATGTATCAAACCTTAAGAAATGTTTAACCGATGAATCATTGGTTCTACCTTTGGAAGTGTTAGCTCTCATTTCATCTAATGTAAAAGTATGGAAAAAGTAAATACTGCAAGTGTTGACAGAAGAGGTTCTACCACAGAAGACCACAGAGGACCAACAACAGAAGATGTTCATTCGTACAAATCTAGAGTGACAGAACCTCTGTCGTCTATCACAGAGGTTCTGGAAATTGGTCCTCTGTAATCAAAGCGTACAAGTTAAAGATGACAGAACCTCTGTTGTCTATCACAGAGGTTCTGGAAGATGATCCTCTGGCATCAAGTTCTCTCAAGTCACAACAAGCAGAGCCTCTGGGATGGCTCACAGAGGGTCTGCAGTTTTATCTTCTGTGAAGAACTTTTTTACTTTTTTACTTAGGTTAGTTAGCTGCTCGTGCTTATCAC